ACTCCGTGCCGGCATGCTGCCATTGTCTCCCCACCCCCCACCCCCACCCCGCCCCGGCCAGATGCCCTCAAGTCGCTGGTTCTGGGCGCCTACAAGGATGCGGCGGCGCAGGCGGCCTGCCCCTGGCTGCCCCCCCCCAGCAGCAGGCTGGCGGCCGCCAGCGGCGCGGGCCGGGCCGCCGCGCTGCGCAACGCGCTGCTGCTGTGCGCCCGCAACTCGGGCCACGGCCAGGGCGGCATCGTGCAGCCCATGGCGGCGCTGGCGGTGGCGCTGATCGAGGCCGGCGGGGCGGCCGCCGCAGGCAAGGGCTCGGCCGTGGTGGCCGCGGCCGCGGCCGCGGCCGCCGAGGCCGGGCCCCAAATCGGCGGCGGCGGCGTGGAGGGCGCCGACGGCGGCGCCAGCTGGGCAACGCCAGCTCAGCGCGCCGCCGACCTGGGCACGCGCCTGCTGCTGGAGCTGTATGAGGCGCACCGAGACTTCAGGAGGGAAATCATCTGCCTCTGCCACAACCGCCTGGTCGGGGCCAGGGTGGGTGGCGGGCTGGGGCGGGTGTGGCGTAGGGGGTGTACTGTGTGCTGTGTACTGTGTGCTGTGTACTGTGTGCTGTGTACTGTGTGCTGTATACTGTGTGCTGTGTACTGTGTGCTGTGTACTGTGTGCTGTGTACTGTGTGCGTCTGTTCTCTTTCGTGGTGGTGGTGGTGGGTGGGGAGACAATGGCAGCATGCCGGCACGGAGTTTTGCACTTCTGCCCAAAAGCCCTTCCAATCTGCGCAGGAGGAGGTGGCGGCGCCGTATGTGCGCCTGCTGGCGCTGCTGGTGCGGCGCAACCAGGCCACCATCGGGGGTGAGTGCCTGCTGCACTCCCCTCCTGTGCCTGCTTCCCCCCCGCCCTCAACCGCCGCGGCTGTGGACTCTGCCGCAGCTCCCTCGCACATGCACCCCATCGACCATCGCCTCACACTCACATGCACACGCCACCACCCACCTGCATTGCTTGCGCCTCCCATCCTCCCAGTCAACAACCCTCCCCCCGCCCCCGTACTTACTACTTGCTCCACCTGACCCCCCACCTCCCCCCACCACCACACACACAGACCACCTGGGCGAGATGAAGCTGTCCCTGGAGCACCTGGCCTTCCTGCCCCCGGCCGCCGGCCTGGCGCTGCTGCTGGCGGTGTGGCCCGTGTGCTGGGCGCGGCGGGACGCTCACGACTATGTCGCCATGCTGCTGCGCAAGGCCATGTTCAGGTGGGGGTTGCCGCTGTTGCGGGGTGCATGGGCAGGCAGGTGGGTGGAGCGCGGTGGTCGGTGGTTGGCGGTGTGGGTGTGGGTGTGGACCGTGATGGTGGCGAGGAAGATGGCCGTGCGCCTCCTTGCTGGCGGGGGGCTTGGCGGGTTGCACATCGCAAGGAGGCAGCTGGCGGTCGTGGGATGCCGCGGGGGCTTCCAGCGCGGGTGTGGCCATGCTGCGCCGCAAGGCCGTCCACCGCCACCCCACCACCCGCCCGCCGTTGCTCCGCCCCCCTGCAGCCGCGAGCTGCACGCCCGCCTACTGGCCGCCCGCGGCTTCCTCTACATGATTACACAAGAGCTGCAGGGTGGTGGTGGCGGCGGTGGCGGAGGCTTTGGCGCCAGCGAGCCGGGCCCCAGCCAGGTGCGTGCTTTGCCCCGGTGGCAGACAGCTACGAGCGCGCTGGGCGTGCTGCCCCGGGCCGATGACGGCCGCGCCAGGCGCCTGCTGTGAGGCGCTGCCGCACCTGGGTTTCCGGCTGGCGCTGCAAGGCGCAGCCCCACAGCCCCGCAGCGCTCCCAGCCCCGCAGCACAGCACCCCTGCCGCTGCTGGCGTGCGCCCCTCCCCTCCCCTCTGCAGGTGCCCCTGAGCCAGCTGGGGTCGCTGAGCGGCGGCGGCGGCGGCGGCGCCACCCTGCTGCACGAGGCAATGTCCTTCCTGCGCCGCTGCCTGGCACAGGTGCGGCTGCTGCTGCCGCTGCTGCCGCCGCTGCTGCTGCTGCTGCTGCTGCTGCTGCAGCCGCTGCCGCTGTGCCTCCTGCGGCTGCCGGCGCTGCATCTGGCTGCCGCTGCCGGCTGCGGCGGCGGCTGAGGCTGCGGCTGCGGTCTTGGGTGCAGCCTTGCCTTGCTCACCCGCCAGTTTGCCTGACTGCCCGACACACACAGCACACACACTGTCTCTCACTCTCTCACCTGGCCGCCCCTGCAGCAACCCGAGGTGCGGCGGGCGGTGTATGACGGCATGCCGGCGCTTCTGGCGGCAGACCCATCGGTGCAGGTGGGAGGGGGGTAGGAGGGGCGATTTTGGCACACACAATTGGTGCAAGGGTCCCATGGGCATGATCTCGCCCTATGGGCTCCTGTGCGGGGGAGGCAAGTGGAGCGCAGCAGCCCGCCTGGACCCTCTGCGTCAGTGTCATCTTGTGGCAGGCGCAGCCAGCGCAGGCTCTGCTCCCAGCTTGCCCCCAACCCCCCAACACAAACACACGTGCA